GGAATTTTTCCTCCAAGCCTTTTATATTTCCCTTAAGAGTGTCATCAACTTCTTCGCCTTGCTCATTTTTATAACTTTACTTACGAATGCCTGGCACTTGATTGCGTTCTAGTTAACTCCGTTGAGCCATATATTTCCCATCTTTTGCTAATTAATGTCTTCGGCTTACTCATGTCTAACTCACTAAGCCTTCCCCCTGTAATTATTTCTATAATAATAATAATTATTATTACTTTAGACATTTTTTTGCGAGGTTTGGTACTATTAATACATATCGTAGCTCTTTAAGATTTTTCGTTTAGAATATTTTAAACATTCATCAGACTTACTATCGTTTATGCTTTATTCAAGAAATTTTCAACTCTTGTTAGAAGTTGAATGTAATACCTATTTTTTCTCGTATATTTTGTACCCAGTCACCTGCATTCGAAGCTCGAAATATTGGTTGGAGATGCAATAAAGGCAGAGGAATGGCCCAAATTTGACCTGTGCGTGGCTAATTTGCCGTACCAAATCAGTTCACCTTTTATCCTGCGTCTTATCAAAGCTGGTCGTGGGTATCGGTGTGCTGTTGTAATGGTACAGAAGGAATTTGCCGCTCGCCTGTTAGCTCAACCTGGTGATAAATTGTACTGTCGGCTCTCGGCAAACGTGCAATTCCATTGCAAAGTGGCCCACCTATTAAAGGTGCTTATTTATCTATATTCACTTGTTTATCATATCGAGTTATCATCTAGCAAGTTGAAACCTAAGTTATGAAAACCTCTAAATCTGCATGGTTTCTTAAAGTCATTGTGAACTTTCTTATTTTATTGGCTATCTTTAGCTATAAAAGCATACGAGCATATTTATGAGTAAATATCACTTCTTATTAGGCCCTAGGTACTATCATGATTGCAATGAATTCGGTTTACGTTTAATTTTTTAAGCTACAGTACACAATCATCCAGAACTGAAGATATTACTATGAATGACGATTTTTCGTAAATGGGGCTTTTGACAAGTTTTAAAAGCTTTTATTAGCATTCCTTCATTGTCCAGTCGAAGGTTTGGAGATCAAGATGATGTGGCCTCTATCTTGGTAGCCGTCTCTTGTTGCATAGAAATGCTTTGATCTCGTTCTCGGAACTTGGTTGCGTTGGCAGTGGGTGATGTATCAAGCTAAGTACTTGGTAACTCAGGCATAATAAGATTATATTTGTTCTGCCCTGATTGTAGTTAGTAAGATTTTCGACCACAGTTGTCCTCAAGCTAAAAGTAATCGATTTGGGCTTTCAAATGTAATTTCCGACATATCCTTTATACTAATATACATAAAATCGTGACCAATGCTTTTATTGCTTTAAACTCCATTTGCTCTGCCTCTGACCCAGCCCATAGGCAAAATTGGTGTTTTATCACCGATAATTAAAATTATTCTGGCTAGTATGTTTTTTTAATTAGCCTTTGAATATCTCCAACGCTTTATTTAGCTTAGAGACTTGTATGCATACGGCTTTACTATACAGTTCTGCCTGGCCTTAGCTGTTCTTATTGCTATATCTCATCTTTATCGCTACGGAAAATAAAAAATGTAGAATTTCCCATATAAATTTAAAAAAACTAACTGTACCAGAGGACTTTGTCATGATGTGATGCGTCGAGCAGTGATGTGATAATTTAATTGATTGGCCCTTTCGTCTAATCGCAGTCCCCTATCATCTCATACTTATTTTTACTTGAAATTTATTGAGTGACTTCTGAGAAATTGTCTATTAATAATTCCACTCCATTTGATTCTGTATCTAGACTCTTGTACATATAAGCTAACAATGGCTGTTATCATTACCTTTGGTATTGCTGTCCAATGAGGGCTCTCATATTAGTTGTACCTTATAGGGAACTTTGATGTTGCATTTAATTAATTAGCCTGCTGGGAAGTTTTTGTTGTGATTTTTCTTTTCTGTGCTATCTAGCTCCCCTTCCACTCTCATTTTATTTGTGCTCCAACTAACTTGCTATTTTTCTTTTATCGTGTCTAGCCAGGTTTTTGTTCTCCACATGGTTTGTCATATTCAAAATATACTTGAAAACCTTAAAAGTTGTTTGACCTTGTTTTTGCAACTCGGTCATATTGTTAGGAAGACTTAGAGGAACGCACCTTGTCCGGAGTCCATTGTATGCATCATCATTTCCAGAGTAGGACAGTGGACGTGGTACATTCCCAGACGTTTCGCCGGCATCGTAGTCGGCATCATCAGTGAGTCTCGCCATTCTTCTCACCATGCAACAACTCGTCAAAGCAACAAGTGAAGCCGATCCTTTGATCAAACGTGTGCTAAACACTTGTGGTATCTCTCCTTCTGCCCTAGGCTATTCACATTCCCTATATCCTCCTATCACACTTTTTCTTTTTTAATTTTTAACGTGTATATTTTGATTTAGTGTGGTGTGCTCCTTTGAGCGGCTTTCATGAAAACCATTCACACTCCACGCTGTCGT